CCTGGGTCCAAGGGGACTCAATAAGACAAAGTCAAATTCCCACCAACCCAATCACCTCTGGGTAGTTTGCAGTGTACACAAAAGTTCAGCCAAATTATCACTGGCCCGCTCGTTCCTGGGCAGTTGGCATGCCTCCAGAGAGCTCAGCCAAATTCCCATCAGTGGGCTCACCCTTGGGAATTCTCCCAGACAATCGGTAGAGCCCATGAAAACCCAATTAGGATCCTACCAGCAAAAAGAATATGTTTTTTCCTTCTGATAGAACTGGTTTGACAAGGACAGGCAATCTGAAATTGCCTGTCTAAAATGTGGGTATTAAGGCATAAGGCATGAAGAAGCTGGTTGGCATGCATTCACAAATGCAGTTACTAAGATGATTGTATTCTTCAAATACAAAGGTTAATGGCTTGAAAATCAGGAGAGGGGATGTTTATGGTGTCAAAGGTTTATTGTTCAAAATGGCTTTCCTAGCCATTGAGTTTGACTTTGTCTCGTGGATGGATGGGAACAAGCAAATGAGGTATATTGGTCTATTTGCAAGAGAATTGGTTAGTCTTGTCTTTAAACTGCGTGGATTCAGGTGCCGAAATGGAGTCTCTCACCATCAGCAAGAAAGAAGCAGAGAAGAGAATGCATCCTTTGGGGTTAAAGATTCCCGCTCCACTCAGACTGTGGTCTACAACAGGATGAGCCTCCAGAGCAGAGAACCCGAGACCTGACGCAGGACAGAGCTGACCCTGGGACTGCTGCCTCATGGAACCAGACCTCGGAGCCTTCACCCAAGTGATGCAGGACTAGTGGGAGATGCCATGATTTACAGGATTTTAAAAAAGCAGGAGAAAGATGGGAATCCACTCTGGTGCAAGTTACCGTCTCGAAAACCCTGCTACAGGTCAGCTACAGGTCAGTTCAGACTGTGGGATACACAACAAGAGCAAGGGCTTTGTAAAACTGTCCTAAAACTATGAGGCTGAAGGCCGAGGTACCTGTGAGCACATTTTGGAAGCCATCCTGACTGGGGGACTGTATCCTGCTGTCAATGTAAATTACAGCCTTTTGACTTCCTTAATTAAAAATTTCTTTTTTTTTAAAAAAAAAGTGACAGAAGAAGATTCAATGCCATTGAATTGTGATGTGATTGTGATGTGGGCAAAGAGTGTTGAATATTCCATGGGTTGGCAAAAAATGAAACAAATCTTTCTTGTAGGAAGAACAAGGAAGTTGCTTCTTAGAAGAAAAGATAGTGAAACTTGGCCTCATACATTTGGACATGTCATCAGGACAAACTAGTCTTTGGAAAAAGATATTACACTGGGAAAGTTAGAGGGTCATCAAAAAATCAGGAAGACCCACTATGAGATAAATTGACACTGATTATAACAATGGCCTTGAACATGTCAGAAATCATGAGGATAGATCAGGACAGGGCAAGCTTCACATCTGTTATTCATAGAGTCACTGTGAGTTTTGGGGACCTGAGGATACCTAACAACCACATGGTGGAGGAAGAAGGCTATCATACTATTTTTTATTGCTTTAAGGTAAGTGTTATTTGATCTTAGTATGGCCCTTGGAATATGGCTCTGTCTTTTGAACAGGCAAAGGTGAGAGTTGTTAAAGTGAAGGACTTTTAGGGTCTATTGCTCCAAATACCTCCTTATCTTAAATTTGTAGGTGATTCCCCTAAACCTTGTACTCCACAATGAATGAGAAAGTTTAAGATGAAAACACATTTGAGTAAGAGTCTAGCATGCTCACACTATGACCGACAATCTTCTGTTTAGATTCTGACCATTAGGAAGGTCACTTGCAGGTGTGGACCCTTGAAGGACCTCATGAAATATCCCTAAACTTAGCTTAATTAGTTTTGGGAAAGGGTATCAAGAGATATTTAGTTTGAGGTAAATATTCCCAGGTGAATGTGGTTCTTATTTTTTTTTCACTTGAGACCTAAAAATATGTGTGGGAATATGAATTTGGTATAGGAAAGAGCTTGATGTTATGAAAATCTTAGTAGCAGAAGGGCCCCATTAACAACTCCCCATGTTCCTCTTTATCCTCACCTCAGTCTTACCATTACTATTTTTTTTTCCAATGTAATTTTAATTCATAGATAGTAGAAGAGCTGCTCAAGTTAAAAACATAAATTTTGGTTTTTCAGGGCTTCATGTATCTGCCAGGAAGTACCATCAAAGAGATTTCCACAAACCCAGATGAAACTGGCAAGTTTGTCTTTGAAGTCATCCCAGGTAGGTGACAAATGACGAAATGGAGGTGTATTACAATCTCACTATCCTGGACACAACTACCCCATTACCCTAGTCACTGAATCAATCCATCTTATCAAGGGTCTTCCTCTCCTGCCCTGTCCCTCCATCCTCCCAAACATGATGTCTCTCTCCATGGACTGGTCCCTTCTTGCAACATGTCCAAAGTATGTCAGAAGAAGCTTCAGAATCCTTGCCTCCAAGGAGCAGCCCAGCTAGTGAACATATAATAAGATCCCTTCATGCAGTTTGGAAGAGGAATGTTAAGAAAGGGTATCTCAAGGAAGTTAAGAAAAGCTGAATAGGTGGCACATGCTGGATAGTCAGAAAACCTTTGTGGGTGATGTGGGATTGTTATTCATGGGTATTTTGTTTCAGCATTCTCCACAGAAACATGTTTAAAACACAGAAGGAGATTCCACATCTTTCTCCAGCAGAGTAATTAATGTATTTGAACCATATGCCTTCAGATTGGCAGGGTAAATCAATACGACAAGACCATCAGAAATTTATATATATAT